GCTCCACTGACCGCCTCACCCACCGCCGCGCCGCCCCAATTGAGGTCAATCAATACGCCGCCGCCGCCGCCGCCGCCGCCGCCGCCGCCCCCTAGGAAACGGGGTGGTGCGGTGTGCGTCCGAGCGCGGTGCTGTCTACGGGCAGGCCACACCTGCGCCGCACAGCCGCCGGCTCGCTCGCCACAGCGGAGCCGCGCGGCGTACGGCTGGCGATCGCGGCTGCGGCTCGGCGCGGCTCTGCATCGATCTCAGCGGCCCCCACCGGCTGACGACATACCGCCGCCGCTCGCCTGACGCACGGAAAAAGTCCAGCGGCGCCCGGCCTTTTTGCCAGTGAGCACGCGGAAGTCGCGTACGCAGCTTGTTAGGCTCCAGCGTCTAGCACAAGGCCGGCAGTTATGCGAGATAAACACCGGCTATCACAAGAGCGTGGCGCAGTTATCCTGGTAAATGTAATAACTAGCGAAGAACGAAGCTCTTCGCCGACGAGGCAATTGAGCATCTGATTCTCGCGCCAGCGGCGCCTGAATCGCAACGAGCTGTGGTCGGGCGGCTGCATGTAATTCGGAGCTCCCGACACTGGAGCACGACACGGGCCCGGCACGAGCGCCTCCGGCGGTCGGCTGCGCTCGGCTGGCGGCCGGGAATCCGTCTGAGCCGGCCCGGAGCGGGCCGGGGCTTGGTCTCCGCCCGGCACCGGCCCGCACACGCACGATGCGCCAGTCCGGCACGGCCACGTGCGTTACCGCGGCGGTCATCCGCACGCAGCGTGCAGACAAGACGCTGTCGAGGACGCTCGCTATACAGGAGCAGCTGGGAGAGCCGGCGTGGTGACGCGCTGCGTGGCTGCGCGAAGGCGTCGTGGCCGACCGGGCCGGCGGCGGCGGCGCCGATCGTGACCGGCTCCAGCTGGCGGCCGGGGCCCGTCCAGCCGTGACGCCGTCCGCACGCCGCCAGTCGCCCCACCCGGCACAAGGAAGTGGTGCCGTGCTTCAAGGCCTGGCGGGCGCCACGGCCTCCACAGCCTGCAACGGGCCGGCCGGCAGAGGGCGGCGGCGCCGCCTTCCCATCGGCCCCTCTCTCCGCCCTTCGCAAGCTTCCTGGTCGTGCCAGGTAACAGCGTGCCTGTCCCACTGGCTCATGACGGGAGGAGAACCACGAGAGCTTATGGGGGGAGAATAATCAGGTGCCGCTGAAATTGCAGTGTTACTGGGGAAACGCTACCGCAGCGGCATCAAACCCATTCAGGGCAGAGTGATCACATTTGTTTTCGTTTTCCCAATCAGTGATTTCACGCGACCAATTTTCAACTTGAGATTTGGGATAAGAGGCCGTCCATATACTACGCTGCCTTTAGGGGGGGGGGGGGAGTGATGAAGTGCAACGGAAGCGTAACAAGGACCAGCGGGAGGACAGCGTAACATGGGGGAGCGGGAGGCATGCACAGCGTAACAAGGGCGACATGGTAACGTTGGACATGGTAACGTTACGCTAAGGTGTCGTTGCAAATCATGTTAAGTCCTTGTTTTAATATCTGAATACCTTAAAGCCCGATACTATTGACTTTCATGACAAGCAGCACGCCTTTCGTTTCGCACCTCTAGCTCATTTAGGGATCAAACGGGAGTCACGCTTGGCAGAGCGCTATCAGGGAGAAGGGGGCTTTTACTCGACTTAAAAGGAGTGTTCCACATTTGTATAGGGCTTTGGGCTTAATAGCCAACTTAATCATTCGGTGCAGTTCACAGCCCTACCCTTCTTAAAGCTTAAACTCCTCTAGTTTGAGCTAAACGCCCGCGAAGATGTGCACTTGTCCGGGGATATTATTTCACGGTTACCCAGGCGTCCATGACGCCATGTCATTCAAATCCTACTATTCCAAAGGCCATGTGAAGATCAAGGCCAAGAAAATGAATGACTCGTTCATGCCTGGCGTTTGAGAGCACGATTTCCAGATAGAATGACCCTCAATTAGCTCTCAATAAATGTTGTGCAAGGAACGATGACGTATCCAACCAAAGGCGTATTGAGGAGCATATTCAATAAACAGGGGAATTGTGTTGTCTGGAGCAGCCTTTTTCACTTAGAAGAATACCAATATATGTAAGTGAGCTTATTTCACCATGTCTGATATTTGTGTCAATACCTTCGAATGTGAAACATTCGCTTCAACCAGGGCGAGGGTGAGGGATGTTGAAAATGGCCCAAGTGCGTAACGTAATTAATGGACGGTCCCTAACCCGTAACACGAAAATACGCGGTATACAAACAATACGTTTCCGGGCGTTTGTCCCTACACCACGTACTGAGGAAACCCCAATATCTCTATCCGATCGCTCCGACGTAAACTTGTAAGCGGAGAGTTCATTTGCTGGTATATTCCACCACATCGGACGAGCCCTGCTGACGTGCCGCCCGGCGGCCGCGCCGCCGCCAACGCCGCGGCCGGCCCCAGCTGGGCGGCGTCCCGCTCTCCAGCACACTGACGGATTTCACTGTAGTGCAGCATGAAACAACACGATATCCCCTACCAAACCATGAAGCTAATCCCTCAGGCCATGTCGTCATCACGTACGCAACAGATCCCGATCAAAGTGCAAAACGTTACATCACTATTTGCGTTGTGAATGTGCCGCAAACATCCAATCAGCTATTGCGCTTGCTCTGACGCGAAAGCGGAGCCTAATTATGTGCCCAACTTTATTGGCGCTCTGTAGTGCTTATTCCACCACTAGTCCGCAATAATCTTTCCTCCGCACGCGCACGTACTGAGACAGAGGTAAATTCGTGATCCCGATCACGGCAAATCAAATCGGAATTTCTGGCACATCAACCTAGACTTCGGAGCTTTAGCTTAGACTTTTTGGTCGGCTAACAGGTCGTAACACCTTCATGTGACCGTTCTGTTTCGTCTTTTTGGCTCCCGGCGCCCAATACATTTTATATTTTTTAAATCTGTTTTGCATCATCTTTACATCTTTTTTGCATCATCTTTACATCTTTTTTGCATCTTTGTTAACATCTTTCTGCGATTAACTTAAGTGGAAACAGTTCGTTCCGGTGCTGCTGCCGCGTCAAACTCACTAAGGGGGGATGGAGTTGGGGAAATTCAACTCTCAGAAAAAATGCGCAGGCCTCTAGTTTCAAGTGCGTGCGTTTTCTTGAGCCAGCGCTTGTAGGGTGGACTGAGCTCAGTCAGAAGCAGATGCGTGATTTTCTTTAGCCAGCACTTGCATGGTAGCCGCAGTACCCAGTCAAAAGCAAAAGGCACGAACATGGGGCGTGGCCGTCTCAACAAAAAACGAAGCTTCTTTTATCATTTCGAAGCAGCAAAAAAACATGTATGTGCATGCCCACTTACAGCAATCAAAACATCACGAAATCCCTACCGGGCACTTATGGCCACTCTGCTAAGATAACTTACAACAACTTAATAGACAATAAGACAACTTAATTCTACATTTCTCAAGTGGTATTGACAGGTAATGTACGTCGTGAAGAGCCGACAACTTTCGAACGTTATCGAACCAAGTCTTATTTTAAGTGTTGTTACACACTGGTGCTAATTCAGGTTGCCCGAAGGTTCCAAAAAATGTTTACTACCGCTCAGCGAAATGCCTGCTCCTAACAACCACCTTTTTAGCCTTTAAAGATGTAGGCGAATGGGAAAATTTGCTCGTTTACGTTGTGTTGTGTTGCTGAGCCGCCGTAACGCTGGGGCCGCAACTGTTATTGTATCTCACAACACCATTTAGAAGAGCTGCAGCGTTTGCAATGCCACTTTTCTCCCAAAGAGACGTGTCAAAGCCGAAGTGTCGTACAATAGTCATAAGAAGAGCGCAGTTCCAGCAAAAAGCAGCGTCGTATGAATCAGGAAGCGGCGCTTGTAAGCCTTTTACTTCTGTTTCAGTGTACCCAATTCCCTTCAGCATCGTTGGTTTGCCATCTGCACTGCATCTGTTCATTTTGTTGAGCTTCAAAATTCAACAGTTCGTAATAAGCTGTTCGTGTTAAATATAATGGCAATAAAGTGAGTATCTCATTCCGTCATGCGCGGCAGAAAGGTGGTGTTTGGCATAGGTGGGGGCATAGGCTGTAGGCAAGCTTCGTTAACATACCGAGCTGGGCACCTTTTATATAAAAACCAAGGAACGTGTAAAGGAACAAGCCGGCCCAGAGCAGACAATCTCCATCTAAAGACTGGTTTCCAAACTTAAAAATAGCGCAGGCTCGCCTGATCTCTTCACTCTGCCAGCAAAGCCCCACAATAGACATGCAGGGTTTGGCGACGGCAGCGAGCGGGCCGCCGGGTTTCAAACCGGCAGCTCATCTGCGGTGTGCAGCTATGCCTGCCATCCCGCGCGGCCGAGCACCGCTCGGCGCGCCGCCGAAAACGAAAGGCCTGGCCGCCGCTCGGCCGCCTGGGCCAGCTTCACTTTCACCGCTGTCTCGGCGGCCGACAAAAAGCGCTACCAAGTGCAGTGTGTCAAGGCCAGGCCAACCGGCCGCCGGGTCAGTGGGTCACACGGCCCGGCAGGCAAACAGCCGACCGACGACAGCGGCCGGCGCGGCGGCAGCGCCACGGCCGGTACTCCCAACAAGCTGCCGGCGGCCGAGCCGTGGCTGATCTCCCCGCGGCTTGTCGCAGCGGCCACCGAACACGGAGCATCGCTGGGAGGTGGCCATCACCGGACAGCGTGCCGCTGGCTCGCTCCACAGGCGCGAGAAGGGCGAGTGCGGCGCCTGGCCGGGCGGACGCGAGCCATTCCAGCGCTGCCCGTGCTCAGCCGGCGCCGGCGCCCCTCGCCCGACATCATACCTCACGGGCAGCAGGCGTGTGACGCTTCAGAGTAACGCCGGCCGCCGCCCATACCCGACACGGTAGCGGCCGGCATGGCCCCCGATACCCTGCCGCGGGTGGCGAGGACGGCAGGCGCCCTACCACAGGCGGCCGACATGGCTCTGGTACCCCTGCCGCGGGTGGCGAGAACGGCAGGCGCCTACCACAGGCCCCCGGCATGGCTCTGGTACCACTGCCGGGGGTGGTGAGGACGGCAGGCGCCCACCACAGGCCCCCGGCATGGCTTTGGTACCCTGCCGGGGGAGGTGAGGACGGGCAGGCGCCCACCACAGGCGGCCGGCATGGCTCTGGTACCCTGCCGGGGGTGGTGAGGACGGCAGGCGCCCAGCACAAGGCGGCCGGCATGGCTTTGGTACCCTGCCGGGGGTGGTGAGGACGGCAGACGTCCACCACAGGCGGCCAGGCCAGCACCGTATATCCCCGGCACTACGCTATCCAGGGCGGTCCGCAGAACAGGCTGCTAAATCTGAGACCGGCGTCTGGTTGAAGGGAATTCTAACCACAGGACAATGCTGACAAAAGTGTGATGAAGCCTTTGTCATGCCGCCGACTCTAAAGCGCGCTTAATCGCGGAGTGAAAGTGGATTACGACCCTAACCATTCGGTAAGATAAGAAAAGGAACGAAACCACGTGCGACAGCGCTGTCGCAGCACACAGCATACAGTGCACTGATAGATGCTACCAGGCATCACCTCAGATTTTGTATAAACATGTGACTCAAATTTCTGGGGATACCGACACTAGAAAACGGTCTTCTTCCCATTGTAGTCCAAACCGAGCATAAGCAAAGGATTTTTAAAATATATTTTCCAGGTTTCTTTTTTTAAATATCACATACAACCGCATGCTAGGGAGATCACAAAGATGGCCTGTAAAGGTGCGTGACAACCGAATGACGGCGTACAACGAACCTCGACAACTGACCGAGAACAAGACAATGTACGTGAACTGATTACAACGCGTGCGGAACGCCCTCAAACGTCCGATTCTTCCGACCGAGCACGAATCTTCAAAGCAAAACCAGACGTTCTCATGAATCATGACCAGAACGAATGACGAAACATCGCCAGCCGGCGTCCAACGGGCGGCCAGTGACGTCACCCGTTCTGGCGGCGTTACTCGGCGCATCCCGGCGCGCGGCTGAGCCGGTGGCGGCGGCGGCAGCGGCGGGCCGGGGTCTCAGAGGACCGAGCGACGCCGCGTCGTCCCCGGACCACCGCCAGTACCCCGGCCGCCCCGCCCCGGCCGCGAGGCCCGGCCGGATGGCCAGAGGCTCCCGCCGCGGCCGCTGGTGCCACGTCCGGACCAGAATTGCGCAGTTCAAACAGAGCTGTTCTGGTGCATCACGAGCCGAGCTGGCCCACAGATCGCTCCACTAGAGCATCGGCTGATGTGAATTTTCAAGAAAATATTACATTACGTAAGCTGCATTGCGTAAACACCTATGGATCCAGCTTTCCTGTGGGCGGGTTATTTCATCGGGAAATTCTTTGAGACGGTTACTGATCAATATACAGCATTTAGGTCTCACGATCAGCCGCAGACAGAAAAAAGAAGCATGTGCTGTATCCGAGCCTGATGTGTTCTCATGCTGTAGACCGGCTCCAAATGTACCAAGAAGTACTGGCTAAAGGATAGCAAGAAACGATTAGTGACATACATTTTGAGTGCCCATAACACACAATACGCTGTTCCTTGCCACCAGCCTTCTCCGTGCTGTTATCTACGACGCATTTAACCCAAAAAACTGCCCGATATCTTCATTCAATCACCGGTTCCCATAAATTGAAGGCCGGTTGTTTGCAGCATACGAACTCACAATTCCCAAGAACCTGGGGGTTTAAGGCCTTTGTTGCTCATGTTAAGCCTATCCGTGTTGGCATCCTGGGAGCATTCGACCCCATCAGGCCACACGTTTAGCGTAATCCAGGCTGGACGACACTGTCTGTGAGCTAGCACACAGCAGCACAGATTCCAGGAAGCTTAGAAACAGATTGGCTCCAGCGAGCGGCGTTCGGTGCAATGAGGAATAAGCCCACTAGCCATAGTGAGGTCTCAGCAGTATTACCGCGGGCAATGCGCTCTCCGTGACAGAAAGATGCTCACAGATCAGCTGGCGGCATCACGCGACACTGGCAGGCCACGAAAACGGTGCGGTTCCTAGTTTGGTAAACATGGGTTTCGTTTTGCAGATTGCACGAGCAGGAAATTGCCTGCAGCCGTTAGGTTCTGACCCCTGTACAGGCGACCCTTTGCCGGCCGTCCGAGCCGGGTCAGACCGGGCTGGCCTGGCCGGCCAGCCGGCGCAGGCGCGGGCCTGGCCGGTGCACGGGTGACCTGGCGTCTCCCGGCGCATCGGAGAGACCGACAGAGCTTGACAGAGCGGCGCACGGCGCGCCGCTGAGCCGTACATGCAGCCGGCGGGCCGGCCTACGGCAGAGAAGCCAGTCGGACGACGGCGGCGGCGGACGCGTGGAAAGGAAGAGTGGTCGTGACAACACAACCACGTCAAACGCAGAGCTCAACAAGTCAGACAGACTGCAGACGCGTGGAAAGGAAGAGTGGTAGTGACAACACAACCAGGTCAAACGCAGGGTTCGACAAGTCAGACAGACAGCACTCGTAGAAGTAACGATTGAAGAGCTCTACAAACAACCAATATGGGCCCACGTGAATGATGTGCACATAACCAACTATGTCTTAAAATCATTTGTTCCCATTGTAAAAAAACAACTCTTACTCACATAGCGTTGTGATGGGCATTTCAAGAGCTCATGCCCAAAAATAAAGCTTGATGGCTCAAAAAAGCTGAAAAGCTAATAGTTCAATACAGTTCGTCGAAGCCAACGGAACACACCCGCCTACAGACCTGGACATGATAAGGGCGCACAACAATGTCCCTAACTCGGCGCTTAGTCTACACAATGGCTACCTGAGTGCTCCGCACGGCGTCCAACAGAGGCTGGCTTCCATCTCGCAACGCTGAAGATAATTCATATGATATATTCATACCAAATATCGCCACAAGGGCGGAGGCAAGGGCAGAAAAGTGGAAACATCAGAGCGCGACGTGCATGTGTCATTTTCCCGCCTTTCCAACTGACATCAAAATGGGAATGGAGGTGAGACGCGTGGCTCACCTCCACCGGGCTCGTCCAATGCACAAATATCCCCAAACCGAGCTCAGGTTACTGATGTAACTATCATGTCAATCGCGGTCCCCATCCAAGGGTCCGAACTGCAGAGAGCGGGTAATCACGTTTTATGCTGGGAGCAATGATGCAGAGGGGTTCAATGACAGCCCTAGCAAGAATTTGCAACGCAAAAGTCTACCGCCTGACCGGCTGTTGTCATCCTAAGGCGATTTTTCTGCTGGCTTGCCAGAAAATCCCGACCATGGCTATCCTGCTCATGGAAACATAAGAAGAGATTGGGTTCTGTGTAAATATGAGTGTTTCGTTGTGGTAACCTGCCTCGAGAAGTCGGTGGCGTGGCCTGCTTTGTTCGGCGAGTGTCTCTCACTCCTCGACACAGCGCGCCTCACCCCGCGTCCTGTCGGCGCGCCGACACCGCCGACGACGCCGACACGGCGCTCGTCCCACAACGGGAGGCCGGGCCGGGCCGGGCGCCGCCGGCCGGTCGGCGCCGCGGCTGCAGGGCGGCGTGCGGCGTGCAAGCGGCAGAGTTCCGTCTCGTCCCGGACCGGCCCGGCCCGGAGCGGGGTAGTGCCTCGGAGGGCGGCACCGCACCTCCGCAGCCTTGACACCGATCCCGTGTTATTATCGGGGCGCCGAGGCGGCGGCGCGCAGCTGGGCGGCGGCATTCACACGCGGCGAAGACGGGCGACACATGGCGCACGCCGGCGGCGGCGGGCCGGAGCGGGGCGCGCGGCAAAGCGGACAGCGAGGAGGCGGCACAAGCGCGTGGGCCACTTACCGCCGGCGTCAGACTGAGAGGCTGAAAAGAGAACGCATGGTAAGGCAGGAACGACGCACGTGTCATGAAACGCACGGAAATTGAGCACATGCATGTCACACGGTACGATCAAATTCCGCCACTCATCACCGAACGCAAATGCAAAGACGACATGCCATTCCCATCGTTAATTTTGGAGCACACATTGCGAAACGGCTGAAACGCGCACGGATGTCCTATGCAAACTAAAGCACTCAGGCAGGCTACCCTTGCAGCAAACTACTGACGGCTGCAGCAGTGGTGGGTAATTGCTCAGTCCTGGTCCCACTCGCCATGTGACCCTGTCCCGGAGCCGTTTCGCCCGGCCCAATCAGCGCATTAGCGCCCGCCCCCCCCCCCCCCCCCTGCTCGCAGCTTGCACCGGCCTCGGCGCGAGCGGCTCCGCCGGCCGCCGCCGCCCCGGCACGCCAATGAGCTAACGGCTGCCATTGCGCCACTGGCCGCGCCTCGTCAAATGAAAGTGGGCTCCGGCCGCGCGGGCCGTGTCATCCCGCCGGCCGGCGCGGCACACAGCGGCCCCCGGCCGGGCCAGCCGCCGGCCCGGGCGGACCGGTCCGGCCACCGGAACGCCGCCGCGCGCTGCAGCCCGCCCCGCCGTGCATGAGCGACACCTACCTATTGCGCCACCGGCGGCGCGGTGCGGCGCTGACGTCAGCGCTGACCTATTTTCCGAGTGGGCCAAGTGCAGTGGGCTACGCGGCGGCGGCAGCGGCGGCCCGACGCCCGTCGTCGCCCCTGATCAATAGCCGTCCATAACGTGACCCGTCGAAAGTGTGTCATCGACGCATCGCCGTCGTCGGCGCCGAGGGCGGGCGGCGGCGACAGGGGCGCGCCTCGTGCGCCGTCCAGGGATCTCTTACTGGCACCGCCCCTGACGGCGGCGGGCGGCTCCGCGCGCGCGCCGCCGCCGATACGGCTGGCCAATTCAGCGGCCAGCCCGCTGTAGTCACTTTCATTTCGGCGGCCCGAGCCGTTGCGCAAGCGGCGCGGAACAGCGCGCAGGCCGCGCGCGGCTAAAATGAAAAACCAGTGCCAAGTGCACTGGGCGACCCGGTGGCCTACTTTCGTTTTCGTCGGCTGGCCGGCGGCGACGGCGGCGGCGGCAGCGGCGGCGCGTCGCACCGGCGCACGCGCAGGGCTTGCATTGACAGGCGGCCGCCTGCAGGCCGCCGCTGGCCCGCTGACCTGGCCCGGTGACCGAGCCGTGGCGGGGAGGGGCGGGGCGGGGGACCGCTCGGCGCCTCAGTGTCAGGGGCAGCCGGACGCCGGGCGCCGACGAGCCGGCCGGCTGACCGTGCTGAACCAGCCCCAGAGACGAGACGGTCGGCGCCAACCCGGCGTGCGTACCGGGAAACACCGTGAAAGCCCATTGGCGGCAATACCCAGTAAGGCTGATCTGTCAGCCGTACTGGGTTGGCTGCATCTGAATGATCTTTGTGGAGCACTGGAAACAGACGCCCGCAAACCGCAGCCACTTCGCGCCCACGGCAGCGCTGGGTCGCCCGAGTTTGCTGGAGCTCAAATGTAACAGCGGCAAGTCCCAGCCCAGCCCACAACAGCAACGCACTAACCATCCTCAATGTCGCACAGGGTCCACGCCAATTTAACGTGCGGAACGTCCCCCCGGGCGGCGACCCACCGCCCGAGGTGCTGCCCCCACGAGACTGGCGGCCGTCGCGCGGCCTCTCCCACCTGTCGAGTCCTCCTGTGGGTCGTCCTTGTCGAGGAAGGGTTCGGGCGGGGCGTGCACGGTGGCGGCGGACGGCGCCGGTGCCGGCGCCGGCGGTCGCGCACTGATGATGTACACGGTGCCCTCGGGCGGCGGTGGTGGCGGCGGTGGCAGCAGCAGGCCGTTCTCAGCGGGCTCGGGCGGCTCCGGCGGTTCCGGCGTGCCCGACGCCACCACCACCGTCTCCATGCCGAGGTCGAGTGTACTCATCAGCGGCGGCGGCTGGTGGCAAGGGATGACCAGGTCAGCATCTCACAGGTTGGTGCCAGTAGTACGTGTGCCAGTGGCTCAACTTTACTGAGATGTGGCAGTGACCAACAGGCAATAGATAGTGCAATCATGTAGTGGAAACAGAACCACTTTCAAATGATGTGTATTACACAAGTAAAAAAATGCAATAATGAATGACCTTACAGTACAGATTGGCGAATCACCTATGCATTGAATAAACATGTCTGGTGGAAATCTTCCAGGCATGTTTTAAAGACTTTTGGTACAATCAGTGACCAGACAGCAAATAAATGGGGGAGCATTATGTCAGCAGTCAAAAGACTATTTAAAAGTAGTTTTCATGAAGCCGGCATAACATTGTGATATATTTGAGCTCAACCTGAGTATAGGATCATTGTTGACTGAGGTTTTAGGGTGCACTGACACCTCAGATCATTTTACATGCTGAGGATGGCATCATCAGAAAGATAGTTGCAAAGGTGAGGAGCATCAACACCTTAGGAAACATGGTAACAACTTTCTACTTGCAAAAAGTGAAAATCTGTTTATAGTTACATTCATATTATATTGTATCATGCATCTCTTGTTTTGAGCCCATGTTTATTAACAGGTTTCGTAATCTATGTAATAAAACAAGCAATGCACTTTACTACAGGGAAGATAGAAAGCCATCATGAAGTTGAAATCAATAGATATGTGCCTATATAGAGTATTCCTAGCTTAACTGTGATAATATTCCATTAAATACTTCATATATCTAAATAATATTCTATTACAATGTTTCAAAAACTCATAGCACTTGACCATCTAAAATAAGAAAGCATGTCACACTAAGACTCAATGAACACCCCCTGGTGGAATACACATGCCAGTATAGCTTTGTGTTGTGCTTTGGTGGCATAGCTGCAGCTTGCAACATGCATGGCCCACCCACTCACATTTACACATTACATCACATCAGATCACACCTATACCTACCCACTCCTTATTTCTAGGAACAAACACCAGGATAATCTATCAACCAGTGCACAGTAACTGAGGCTGTGAACAACCAATGCCTATGATGATCAGGGTTTGATGATAATGAGAAGACAAGCCATGTTGAGGTGAGAAAATGGGAAAGCCTTCTATAAACATATACATGTGAGGCTCCCCTCATGCCAACTGCCAAGCATACCAACTGTAAAGCATGCATAATGGCCTATGGGCAGGACATACATGGCAAATGATACCTGAAGAGCAGGCAAAAGTGAGGCAAAAAATATCTTCAAACAAAACGTTTTATCTCTCAGACTCTACAAACTACAACGGCAGAGTGTAAACACATCGTATTCAAATATCCCACCACACGACACACTTTTCCGGTTGCAGCGTTTGCACAGAGGCGTGTCTTCACTAAACCCTTTGTTATATCGTTGAAAAACCAATTCCAGCCAAAACCCGCCACCAGAACATCACCCCAGTGTGACGTAATGGAAGAGCGGGCCAATCATTACTTTTCGTTTCGTTATCCCCAATAGAGAGCGAAAATTGGGTCACTGGGGCACTCGGTCCGCGTCGACACACAACACTCGCCATTTACAACCGGATCCCAGAACATGAAAAATATACAACTGTGATCAGCGCCCTCTATAAAAGTGAGTGTGAAGACTCACACCACAAAAACTATATGCCTTTTTGGGGTGCTGCCTTAAACTGTTTTCCATTTTTTGACATAATAGTATCCTAGCACTGAGATATCATACGCTTGAAACCAAGCAAGAATAGATAATGGAAGGCCACTCCACAGGACTTCTTAAAATCGTTAGAAATGGCCCTCGTGTCTCCAGAGCTGCTAATGAATTGTGAAAGGCTATTGAACTGATGCAGGATGCCATGCAGAATATAGTAAAATCTGCAATTCGATTTCTTTAATCTTTTAAGATGAGTTTGAATGCTTGGAACACCACGCATCATTTCATGTTGAAGGTACCGCTACGATATTGAAATGCACAGTCTATGACACAGGCCACCAAACTTAAGTTCACGCACATCCTCCGCTTGGCAACATGCCTTCACTTCAGGAAGTGGTGTCAAATTGTTTAGGGCCTCTTCAATGCATAGAGAGGTGTATATTGAGAGTGACACGCACACTCCGGAAAATTGCATGTCTCGTCTCTTCCGTTTACGAGTTGAAAAGTTTTTACAGTAATGGCGCAGCAATTACAAACATACGTTGAATGTCAGCGAATAGCGTAACTGGAATTATTTAGCAGCACAAGTGTGGATCGCTGTGACGTGTGGAATATTCTTGAATGTAGGCCTGCCATCAGGGAGTTTAATGGTTTGTAAAAATTTTGGATTTTTGCACTGTCACCAAATATTTTAAGCCAAATGCCCATCTCCTGATAGGATTGCATCGTACGTGAACAGAGCTGTTTATTAATTATGCTCCTATCACTGAGGTTCAGATTGCAAAAGGCACACATCACGCCGAATATGCATGGCGGAGCAGCGACATCGCAGCCGAATTTCAGTGCATGCATGCTGTATCTTTCGGCGCAAACAATTGACAACATTTATCACGTTCAGAGCATAGAGAGCCAATGTTGTTTATGAATTATGATTCTGAGAAATCATTTTATTCAAAAGGATTAAAAGATATTATTCTCATTTAAGTAATTCAAGCATTTGGTACCATCCATCCTGACCTGAGTATGGCTCAGGTGAGCAAAAGGTTCAGTATATTGCTGTTGTTTAGACATTCATGGCAGTAGATAAGCTTTTAGCAGGCTGGACTAAGTTCAATGTAGTTATACTATGTTTGTATCAACCATTGACAAACATAAGCATTGTGAGCATCTACAGTACAGGTAGCTAACCTTGGCTAATCTAATATAGAGTAATGTGATTTAACCCAACAGGGTTTTTGCAACCTCTGAGTTTCATCCTGCCTTGGTATTAAATCCAATAGTATTTTCTGATGGGATTAAATCTAATGTGAGGATGTGCCTGTCTTGCTTTATGTTAAAGATACACAATGAAAACATGTGAACAGCATATTGAATATACATTTCACTCATCACAACACATGATTTTATTCTTCATATCTTATGCTACTCATTTGTCTGGATATGTTTGTAATCATCATTGCAAGTTTAGGGTGCACCAAATATGATGGGTCATGTTGTACCCATTGATGTGTTTGTTGCAGTTTTGTGGCACATCAACTGTGATGGGCCACATTGTGCCCATCAATGATTTGTTTTGTCACTCCAGTCATAAAATTTAACTGATAAGAAAACTGGATCACATTACCCTAAAGATACCTGGTTATGATTCACTATTTACATGGATATATGGCTGATACTGTTTGTATTGTCACTGTAGTCAGAAAGTCATGGCTGTTGAATTGCAGTGATGTGTTGAAGGCTAAGGTGATACAATGTTATCAATTCCTTATTATGGCTGGTCTTGCATGCTCTAAAAAAGTTTTCTTAGTTTCACAGTTTCATTCTGATAAGGGTGGTCTGCATTTTGGTAACCACCAAGTAGTTTGCAACTGGTTTTTGCAGATAAAGGCATTATAACCATGCTCGTGGCTACCTGTTCTTGGCATGTTCTGTCTGTTGTCATGGGTTATCTTTTCAGCTTTTTTAGTTTGTCCTCTAGAGTCCCCACAGAGCTCCAAAATTAATCTAGTAGGGTGTGCAGAATGCAAATATAAATTCATGTTACCTGAATCCTGGCTTGCTGACAGTCCCCAAATACCATTTTTGGCACTAATCTGATACCCTTGACCCTGAGCCAATGCACCCAGCCTGCCCAGCCCATGTATCAAGCCTGAGACATTTAAATGCTTGGTTGACCACCTCTTGGTTTGATGCTGATCAGACAATTGTGAGCAAAGGAAAGGGGAACAGGCGGCAAAGGCCAAGCTATTGTGTACCAGCATGAAAAATATTGGTATTCCTGCTGCCTTAGGGGCTGAATACTTAAGTACTGATGCACTGTGACAGCACATGGAATGGATAACATTTCTTCATGCAGTGTAATGTATGCTTCTTGTTATATATTTTGTGCAGTGCTGGTTAACAAAAGCAGTAAACATTGATTGTTACAAGATGTGAAGAGCTCTATGTTTGTATACTGAGTAAAGATTCTTCAATATAGTCAGGAGGTAATTCAATGGTGTAGTGCAAAACAACTGTTATATTGGAAAATATTTGGTATTATTTCCATTGTCAAGAGATACAAGGGACTGAAGGAATCTCTTACAGCAAGCATAACATAATTATGTCTGCCATCTTTTGAGAAGCAGTATTTGGTCATAAAGATAACCCCTAATGTTCTGTGTACACCAGTTTCCAGCAGGCTCATGTTTGATTCCAGGTTGAGTTGGAAACAATGCTGGAATTAACCATGTTGATGTGGAGGCAAAGTTAAATCACTTTGCTTAAGTGTGTACTGTGAGTTAGAACCAGTTGAGTAAACTTTGATAGCAATACTAATTAATTCCAGGACCCCAGACTTACAGATGTACAAAATTGCACTGTTATGCTTGCCACACAAAAACTTTTTTTGCAAGCATCTTCCTTAGATGCTTGGGGACCATGTTTGCGGGGAATTCAGAGACTGTTTGTGTTCCAAGTGTCTTCCCTATAGCAATGCAGCAGTTGCAGACATCATTGACAGTCAGCATTATCACATGTGCCAGCATGGATCAGCACCTTCCAAACACCCGACTTCCACAGGGCCGGGTGATGCAGACAGCATGCATGCTGCTGGCGGCCGCGTGCCATCTGGCGTTGGGCCAGTCCAGCCAGACGCCGCCGCCAACCTGCGACACCAGAGTGCTGCCCGGCCGCCGGCTGGACCTGGCCACATCGGGCGTCGCCCTGCTGGCCAACGTTAGCGGAACGGCGGCGGCGCACTGCACCCAGCTGTGCTGCCGCCGGGTCGGCTGCCACTTCGCCCTCCGCGAGAACGGCACCTGCCTGCTGCTGCGCTGCCCGCGCGAGGGCGTCTGCGCCACGCAGCCGGCGGCCGACGGCGCGCAGCAGCTGGTGCTGGTCAGGAGCGCGATCGGCACCACACTGACCAGGCAAGGGCAGATGCACCAGTCTCGGGGCTTGTCGCTCCTCACAGCTGGCCGTGCGGAACCCTCTGTTCTCTTCGCGGGTTCACACGCCCAAACAGGGCGGCGCACGCTTGTGATCAGTTATCGAAGGGAGAGCACATGAAAGGTACCTGAGTCGTTTGGTGTCGGGCTGTTGCCTCATGCTGCCCTCGATGCCCGATATTGAGCAGGGCACTTTCTCGCGTGCCACGGCTGCGGTTCCCCGGGTCCGTAAGTGACGCTGCATGTCCTGACGGCGTGTTTCTGTGCGCGGCGGACGGTGGGGCGCCCGTCTGACGTGGACCTCGCCGCAGCGCCGCGGCCGTCGCTGCCTCGCCCTCGTCGCCGCCACCGTCCGGCGGCGGCGGTGGCGGCTCGTGCCAGCCGGCCGTCAGCGCCGACTGTCCGGCGTCGCAGCGGTGCGAGCCGCTGCCGGGCCAGCCGGACGTCGGCGTGTGCCGCTGCGCCGCCGGCCTGGCGCCGGCCGCCGACGGCCAGTGCCGGCCGCCGGCCGAGGCCGCGCCTACTGCCGCGCCGCCGCCGCCACCCACCACCCCGGCGCCGCTTCTGGTCACCGTCCACAACCAGACCATCAGCCTGCCGAACGACAGCGTTACCCTGCAGGCCGAGGTCCGGCCGCCGCCGCCAGCAGGTGCGCGGCCGGGTGACGCTTGGACGCGCCCTGACCAAGTGCCGGGGCAGCGCCTGTAGCTGGGGAGCTGACTGTGGAGAGATGGCTATGTGCGCACGCGGCCGCTGGGGTGGTCTGTGTTCCGGTTGGAAACGATTTGGGTTTTGTGCATCGTTATGTTCCCTTCCGGATAACTAACGTGCCCTGTTATTGAGACAAGTGAAGCAAATCGCCCAGTTTTCTCAATTACCCTCTCCGAAGTGCTCTCGGAAGATTGGTCGAAATTTGAGTGAGTTGGCCTTTGCTTCGCCATCCCTTTTTTTGTCCCAGGCTCTTATTGCTCACAAAATCAGTGGCCACACCCGACGCGACAATCTGTCCTCCGCTCTAGCGCCGACCGTCTCCCGTTGCAGACACGCAGTACCGGTACGAGTGGCAGCTGCTGCCGCCCGATGGCGACGCGGCGGCCGCCTCCGACGAGGCGAGCATGAGCGACGCGGCGCACCGGCAGCTGCACCTGGACGGCCTCAGCCGCGGCGTGTACGTGTTCCGGCTGCGCGTGTGGGGGCCGCACGCGTACGGCGAGACCTTCGCCAACGTGACCGTGTTACCGGGTGAGTCGCAGCCCCCGGGGCCTTGCCGTGAGTCGCATGATACAGATCCGTGCCCACGCACACGGGCTGTTCCGCGTACGTCACTTATCTCGCACCAGATACATCCTACGCCCACACCGCGCGCTCCACCTGATTTCTCTCATTATCCTGCTTTGTGGGGATGGATGGCAGGAAGCGTTTCTCTCTGTTGGGTGTTCCCTCAGTGTAGGAACTTAAGATCAGGTCAGATCAGAGCGTCATGGTACATTGTACAGTGCCCGTGGGAATGTGCTCCGCAGTTACCCGACTGGCCGCCGGAATGCGTCGGTCATTGTCCTACTCCGTGGATGTGTGTTTGGTCTAGACCGGGCTGATACGGGCCGCCTGCGTCTGCCGTCCTGCTGCGTCGGTGTCCGCCCGTGTCCCCGTCATGTCCGCGTGCCCGGCCTCCCGAGCCGGTCCTGACCTCGCCCGGTGGCCACCAGCGCCCCGCGCCAATCGTCCGCCGGTGGCGGTCGTCTCGCCCGCCAACCAGACGCTGCAGCTGCCCAACACCAAGGCTCTGCTGGACGGCTCGGCCTCGACCGACGACCAGCCCGATGACCTGACCTACCGCTGGGAGGTGGTGCAGGCGCCGCTCGGCTATCAGCAGCAGCTGGACAGCTCGGCCACCCTCCAGCTGGAGAACCTGACGCCCGGCAACTACACCATACGGTGAGCCGGCCGGCCGCCGTTCGCAGCACCGCACGTGCACCGGGCGCCATTTGCTTCGTCACGTGTCCGACCGGGCACCAGCTGCTTCGTCGCCACGCCGTCATGTTCTGGGTGGCTGTCGCCCGAAGGGCGAACATTGCTTCGCTGCAATTGACAGCGCATAGCCTGCTGGGTTCCGTCATACAGGGCTGTCCTATTGTTAGCTTGGACGGGATGGAATCCAGACCACTGTGACCGTCCGTCCAGACTGCCACGCGTTTTAGTCACTATAGTTTGACTAAGTGCTCTGGGAAACTTTGCTCGTCACACATCCATGCTGTGCTTCCTGTGGATGTATTAAAGAAAATTTTGAGCATGGTACGGTATAATGTAGCCTTGATGAAGGTGTTTCAGTCAGTTGCTGCGCTTTCCTAGAGACAGGCCAAGACGAAACTTTAACGTGACAGACACTATCACTGGTGGCCTGCGTCGAGGTTGACGACCGAGTATGTCCTGCTCGGACCGCGTACTCTGCTGCCCGACTGGTGCTGCCCGCGTGTACGACTTCCGACGGGAGAGGCGGCCGTCTGAGAAGCGCCTGGGCCGCGGCCGTGGGGACGTGCCGACGGTCGGTTGATGCCTGCCAGCCGGGACATGGGCGTGCGCCGGGGGTGGGGGGGGGGGGGGGGCGGAGCCGCGAGCTGGCCGGGACATGGGCGTGCGGGGGGTGGGGGCGGGCGCTTGGCCGGGACATGGGCGTGCGCCGGGGGTGGGGGGCGGGGCCGCGAGCTGCCCGTTGGGACGTGCCGACGGTCGGATGATGTCTGCCGGCCGCGACATGGGCGTGTGCCGGGGGTGGGGGGCGGGGCCGCGAGCTGCCCTTGGGACGTGCCGACGGTCGGATGATGTCTGCCGCCGTGACATGGGCGTGTGCCGGGGTGGGGGCGGGGGGCCCGAGCTGCCGTTGGGACGTGCCGACGGTCGGATGATGTCTGCCGGCCGTGACATGGGCGTGTGCCGGGGGTGGGGGGCGGGCCCGCGAGCTGCCGTTGGGACGTGCCGACGGTCGGATGATGTCTGCCGGCCGCGACATGGGCTGTTCGCCGGGGTGTGGGGGGGGCCGCGAGCTGGCCGGGACCTGGGCGCGGGTCGACAGCCGATGTTGTGCCGCCGCGCAGGCTGACGGTGGAGGACAGCGACCACGCGACGGACTCGGCCGAGGCCCACATCAGCGTGCTGCGCGAGATCGACTACGCCCCACAGGCGAACGCCGGCGAGGACGTGATCGTGTACCTGCCCAATGTGAGTCGGCCGCTGCCCCGGCGACTGGAGTGTGCCGCGCGCTGGCGGTGGAGGCGCCCTCCCCCCCCCCCCCCCCCCCCCGCCTTCCGAGGCGGAGCTTCTCCATGCTGAATGTGTGCCCGCGAGCGGACTGAACCGCATTGGCTGCATTCGATATGATGTATTGAGGCAGACGGTTCTCTGGATTGGTGCCTAAGATTTCGGTTTGGGTTAACCGGGGATATCAGATATTTCCTTTGCCCACAAATTTTATGTTGAGATTAAACCATTCTGAAAAACTCGCTTAGCCCAGCTAAGTATGGTGTTTGAATGGTTCGTGCGCTTTTCTTTCAACCTCCTTTCAACAGTGTGTAGGTACGTTAAGAACTGCTTTAAAACTTTGGATGGTTGTGCTTCTGTTCTTATAGTTGGTCGCCTTAACGAAATGTTGGCAATTATTAGCGCAAAAATGGTAAGATAACAGTAAAACTGTCTAGATCGCTGCATGAGTTCGGCGTTATTATGCTGAGTCATCGGCGTTTAATATACGAGGAGGCACTGGCTTAAATGACGTTATATTGCTATATTACTCATATATTGACAGTGTTCAACGTTTGCGAAAAGATACGTGTTAGATTTACATTGCATCATGCAGATCACAAGGCAGCAAAGCAGTTACTACATTACGAACACTAGAGCGGTAGCACATTGCATTTGCCGCGGGAGTGGCCATGTACAAGACGAGGTGTTGGCCATTGGCATGAGGCACAGGTTCTGGCACTAGTTTCCGTGCCCGTTGTGTTACGTTGTATCAGTGATGTTCTGTTGTTCTTTCAGCTGAATGAAAATCATTGTGGCTGCAATATGGGATTGATACAAAAATTGGAATATGATGGCTTTCGAAATTTCCGCTACTGCGACAGTTTTAAC